AGAAGCAATTTTCAAAGTGAATTTCTCAAAGTGGACTTCATTTAGTGCTTACAGTGCCAAACGCTGGGCCACCGAAATCATAATTGTTTTTGGTTCAATAAACAGTTTTCTTTTTCCAGTGTGTCTTCAATTCTGAAGGTTGCCCATCAGCTTCTTGTCATCAACTTCTCTATCAGCAGCCAACCAGAACAGCTGTTGCAATGGCAATGCCGGTCAAGTCAATAACACTGTAACATATAAAAACAGTATTTTGAGAACAATTGTAAAATGGATTTTTCGGATTTTGTAACATTTTTTTTTAATGCTTCCGTGGCCGAATATTTGTAAGGCCTACATTGATTTATCTCGTGTGTTTGGGTGTAATTTGTAGTTGTCTATGTGAGTATTCATGGCAACAGCGATACAGGGCTTCCTTAGTTTGGGCTATGAGTGTGTGCGTTATTTTATTTATTTAAGGTAACATGGAACGACACATTTCATTTACGTTGTATTTATTTGTTTGTTCGTTCGTTCGTTCGTTCGTTCGGTCGTTCGTTCGTTCGTTCGAATAGGGGATAGACGACGTGCTTAGTGTTTCTGGTGAAATACATTGCGTAACATTTAGAGACATTTAATGTCATTTGGTTATTGTCACACCAGGAGTCTAAGCGGTTAATGTCTTCTTGTAATTTCGCAATATCGTCATTGGTATTCATAGCCCGGATTTCAAATCATCAGCAAAAAGCAAGGACCGCGTGTGCCTAAAGCACTGATCTATATCATTTATAAAGATATTGAAAAGCAATGGGCCCAAATGTGAACCCTACGGCACACCCGAAGAAACACCAAAAGCATCCGAAGAATCCCCATTTACAACCACTACAGACATTCTGCTATGCAAATACGACTCGCACTAACCCAGCAGAGGCTCTGCAATACCGTATATGAAAAGCTTACGTAGAAGAAGTTGATGATTAACTTTATCAAAAGCCCGGCTGCAGTCAGTGTAAATGGCGCGTACAGACGAGCGGTCAAGAGAACGTGAGATATTATCGACGAATTGAACGAGGTTAGTAGCTGTGGATCGTGCTTTAGTGAATCCATGTTGCTCTGCGTGCACTATGCCCCTGAAATTTAATAAAGTATGGGGATCAGCAAGCGCTCAAAAACCTTAGCAAAGATTGGCAAAATGGAAATGGGCCTGTAGTTGTTCACAACTTCCTTGTGTCCACTCTTATGCAAGGGTACTATAAGAGCCCTTTTCCATGCAGTCGGAAAGACACCAGTGCTCAGAGACGTATTCAAAATTAGTCGCAGAGGATGAACCAACACATGGCCACAAATTTAGAAGGAATACCATCGGTTCCAGTTCCTTTCGAAAGGTCGAGTCTCTCCAAAACTTTCAAGACCTGGTCGTCATTGAACTGAACCATAGTTAAAAAGCTGCTAGTTAGAGCCGGTGTACCACAGACCGCAGAAGAGGGGCTAGTAGATTTGTTCTACACCGAAGCAAAGTTATTAGCGAACAGATTATAGATATTTTTGTTACCAACTGCACATTTCTTGTGCAGGTACATCTGAGAAAGATAATGGCTATTATTGTTGCGTTTAGTTTTCACAAAAGACCAGAAAAATTTTGGATTCGAACGAAGATTGCTCTCCAGATGAGCGAGGTACTGTTTGTAACAGATATTTTTCAGTTTATCAGAACGGGACCTCGCAAGATCAAACGCCAGTCTGTCGCGTGGGTTGTTGTTAAACTTCCGAAGCTTCTGGCGGTACTTATATTTTTCACGTAATAGGCTTATAAGATCACATGAACACCAAATCGGATACTTTTTGGACCTAGGCTTGGATTTAGGAGCATGTTTGTTTATTGCTTCTCAAATTATAGCATAGAAAGAAGAAACCATATCGTCAACTGACTTACAGGTCGCGAATGCATGGTCCCAATCCACTTCGTTTAGATCGTCAACAATATCCGTGTAATCGGCTTTATAAAAACAGAAGTTTACTTGACCATGCGCGGACATATTTGCGTTAGCAGCAAAAGAGAATGAGAACTCTATGGGTGGATGAAATTGGTCAACTTTGGATAAAGGAGACATACACTCTTTTGCGCTTGTGACAGGGTGAGAACTCAACACTAGGTCCAGAATATTGCCTTGATAGTTGGATGTGTAATTGTACTGCGTTAAGTTATTAAGTAAAGCAAATCGATAAGCATGCCAGACATAGCGCTCGCAGGCTCTGTATGAGGTACAGAGAAATCATCGAGACAGTTCCATGGGATCTTACCCATGTTGAAGTCTCCCATGAAAGCAACATTATGTACTCCATTCCCCTCAATGACCTTGTTAAAGTTATTAATGAACTTCAAGAGAACTTCCTTTTTCAAAGGTGACGGCAGATAGACAGCACAAAGATATAATTTAGATGGCTTACCATCGGAATTTTAACCTGCAAGCATACCCACAGATCATAACATCTCGATTCAAAACTGGAAAGGCGCCTAGAACACAAGTCTTTAGAAACAGCTATAATAACACCACCGCCAATAGATTTGTGCGTCTGAAAACTATTTCCACTACCACCACAGAACACCCGGTCTCTCCTGTAGACTACATAACGATCGTTAGAGTCATGAAAAGAGTCGTTCAGCCACGTCTCCGTCAGTACAACAATGTCATAAGAACTACAGACAACGTTGTTAAAAAGAGTTACAGGTTTAAGTCCCTGACATCCTGGTAATAAACATTGCATGGTCTAAATACAGAACTTGAAATAACATTTAAACTACTCATAAAATTGGAGTTATAATTTAAAATTAAAATTAATTGTAATTTTATATTAGAAATAAAAGTAAAATAATTATAATATAACAAAAAAAATCTGTTTTAATAAAATTACAAATTTACCAGTGCTCTAAGATAAGTAAGTGAGTAACTGCGACAAAGATTTTAAGGCGTCCTCAGAGAGAATGTGAATATATCCAGTAGTGTCACCTTTTGGAAGATAATTTTTTCAGCAAGCAGCGGCGTGGAGAGATTTGGTCTCCGCAGACAGATGCTCAGTCACGTACACAAGGCTCTTCTTCTGGCCACCAATACCCAGGTGACTTGTGTTCAACTTGTCCGTAGGATTGTTCCGATTATAGTTGACCACTTATGCAAGTAACTCGTCACGAAGGCGTCTGCTTTTGAACTTCACTAATACAGATCTTGGTCGAGGATTCTCGTTATTTAATGTAGTACATAAGATAATAAGAAATCTATCCAGTCATTATAATTTTACTTAGCATAAGTATAACTTTGTTATGAAACAAAAACCGACCTCAAAAGTTTGTGGAATTACATCTATTTGGCAAGTTTTATTGAAATCGGTTATCGGAAAGTGCGCAAAACTGGCTTTTTTTAAATACCGCACACACTCAACATAGCCCCATAGATTCATCCCCTAGTAAAAGAATATATACCACCTTTAAGGGTGGAATATTTTCTTTTATGAAAAATCCCCTAGTTCGCCACTTTACAGGACTTGACACTGGAGATAATAAAAATCGGTTGTTACTACTCAATTTATATTGAGAGAAAAACGCCTTGAATTGGAGAAATAGCAAAATCAACCATTAAAGTAATTGCTCCTAAATTAAAGTTAGGCGCTATTTATAAAAATGAATCTTCATGCGTGAACAGCCATCCTTCGAGGTGGATGATTTTCTTCAAAATGAAATGGGACCAATACTGAGGTACCCTCTTTCCAACAAAAAATAATCATCAAAAACGGTTCATAAATTGACCAGCTGTAATCTTGTTGGCTTTGTTATACGTGTCACGACTTCATTACTCAACAAAGTCTGCCGATTGTGGAGTTACTTACGGGTGAAAGCCAATGCTGCCCTGAGGGTCGAGCAGTTGGGATCCCGCCACAATGTGAATTTCAATTCATTTATGGTGAGACAACCAACTCAACATCTGTCGCCATTCATGAAGGATGAGTTTTGGCCGAAAGGTGTCATGTACAGACGTTTCCGAGGCCGGCTACCGGGCACCCACGTTGCATCACACATCGCAGACAATATGTGAAAGTAATTATGAGTCCTTAGTGTTTTATTACATTATTATGTATGTTAGTCTATAAAGTATGTATTTAGGGGTCTTTGTAATCACGTAACATCCTTTTTGAAGTCGGCTAAAATAAATGGGATGACGATAAAGAAGGTCGGTCGGATCTACACAAACTGAGCTGTAGAAGCGTCAAATGTCTAAAACATTACTTATAGACTTCGAATCGCCATTAAAGTTATAAATGAAATAAAGTTTCTAACTCCAACTCTGCCGAGAGCTGTTCGATACTGTCTAATCGTTTCTTCCTGATGCCAGTAATTTAAACTTACGCTCCCATTTCCCAAGGTAATGATCGCTGGTGAAATGATAATAAATACTAACTGTTGAATAAATGTAGGCCATACAAACGTTTCTCCCGATCCGGGAATCGAATGCGGGACCGCTGCGTGGCAGACCAGCATGGTAACCGTTCGGCCACGAAGGCCGTTAAAATGTATTATGAATTTCAAGTTTAAATTATTTATTATTAATTATGGTCATTGACATACTTAGGAAGTTGTTCACTTAAGTACAGAAAATAATATGCACTTGACAAACGATTTAAACAAATAATAAAATATGCATTCTTTTTAAGAACATATTTAAAATTTGATATTTGAAATTGTCATATCTATTGTTTTTTAGTTTTCTCGAATACATCATCCTGTGGACACACATGCGATTTTTCTCCTTTAGAAAGCCTCAAAAATTATAGGTAATGTGAATATAACTTGGATTTTATTAGGAGTGTGAGCGGGGATAAACCTATAATGTATGTTTTATAGTTTTCGTTACCTCTTTCTGACACAGTCGGGTAAAAAAAGCTTAACGTTCTTTTTAGAAAGAACATTAAAATTTCGCTATAACGCCCTTTTGCCCAAGGATCGATACAAACGTGTAAAGAAAACAAAACCATACGGTGAATGCTTTTAATTAATAAAGTGCATTGTTTTGCCAATTCATGAAGAAAAATTTCGATAGAAAAAGCTTCGTTTGAAGAGAGTTTAGAATTTGCCCCAACCGCCCCAAGAGCCCCAACCTTTGCCCCAGGAGCCAAGACCATATCCATAGCCCCATGGGTTGACACCACTCCACCCTAAGCCTAGAGGCGCAACAGGGGCGGCGACAGACTTGTAAACGGGGGCGCTAATGACAGGGGCAGCCCAGGTTCGGAGAACTGGAATCGGGGCGGCTTTATATAGGTTGGCAGAGGAGACTGCAGCTGGGGCTGTGACCGCTTTGCCTCCCCAGCCTGTAACAAAGAATATGTATGAAATAAGTCGTAGTGCATTTAACGGACCAGTTATAAACGTCTTTGTAATTGTACGCAATTTAACGCTGCTTCAAGTTAAGATCTCATATGAGTATCTAGCTTATTACACATTGTCATTATATCATCTTCTGCGCGTTGTATGGATCCACTTCGTAGTGATCTTTGCCCACAGCTCGCTTAACATGAGGCAGATGTATCCTGTCCTATTCTATTTCAAGCTTTTTTGTTGGCGACTTTTTACAACGATTTGTGTTTTGGAGTGCACTTTACTATTCCGTATGAGGTCTAACAGTTATACTCCCCATTTATACGCCCCATTGCTGGGCACGGGTCTCCTCTCAGGCGAGGGTGTAGGCCATAATCCACCACGCTGGCCCAAATAAACCCAAAATATTTAGATTGTCTCAGCTTTGACAAACCTTAAGTATAAAATAAATAATCGAAAATAAATACAGATTTAAAAAATCTGAAAACAATTACAGAAAATAACTATAACAAAATAGATTATAAACAAAGAAGCGACAATAACACAACACATGAAAGATAGCTCGTGAAAAAGTTAATGATTCAGCATCAGAGCATTCTTCTATAGCCCGTGTTTAAATAGAACACACAAAAATAATACAATGAACGAAAGACTTGCCATAACCGTCCCAACCGAGACCATTCCAGCCGAGACCGTTCCAGCCCAGACCGTTCCAGCCGAGACCGCTAGCACCAAGTCCGCCCCATCCGTAGCCAATCGCACTGCCGTGGCTCACGCCAGCGACGGCCAGAAGGCAAGCTAACTGAAATTAGCAGCATAGACTTTTAATTCATAATATCCCGGGACGAACAAGTCGTGCGCCTGGTGGTGAGCGGCAAGCCTGTCCATAACAGTTGCAGTGCCACCCAGAGCTTTAAAACACAAAGATGTGAGTGACACTGCGACTGCACCTGTCACCCTTACACATAAGTTGATAAGTTGTGTTATATTGTTATTAATAACACAAAGTACTTGTGTATTACCAATTCTAAAACAGTCAAAGCACTAATAAAAGAAAGTTGAACCGTGTTCGGAATAATGAGATTCGGAGAAAAGTAATTCGTATTTATGATTAGTTTCATCACGATGCTTTCCGTCGCTGTTAGCAAGAGTTACTGCTGTTGAATATTCACAAATGACTTAACTTAGACATTGAAGTCATGTACATGTTAGCTCATAAAGATGGTAACTGTTAATATTTAAATAGAAAAGTAACTGTTCTTCTATTGGGCTATACAGGCGGTTGCACAAACAAAACAACAAGTTAAAAGTATAAATTCAACTCACAGTAATGTAGGTGTTCATTTTCTTAGCTCTTCAAACGATGTGTAGTATTCACAAGTACACGACCTCTTTTATACCGCATTCCTGAATAGGATGAAGCCGAAATATCGACGGAAGCACACGTCAGTTACTGCGCATGCGACTCGCAACGAATGGTGCAAAAAAGTGCGTTCATTGCATCAGGCATTTACATTTTGCATCCTTGCCAAATTCGGAACGAGGCGAGAGAATCTTGGTCTTATTTGTACAAAGCGGATGCAGTCCGGTAGAAAAACAGTTGCTTCTCGATTCAGACGTCGATAGTTCGACTCTTCTTTCATTTGAAGGTAGCAGCCGTTCATTTGAACCAGTTCTTTATGATATCAAGCGACTGGACGAATAAATTGTGCACCTGGTGGTAAGCGACCTGCCTGTCCATAACAGTTACAAAGCCATTTAGAGACGAAACTGTTTTTCAAGATCAGAATGGATAGATATTTGCTCTTAAATAAAGGTCTTACAAAACGTATATGATACAAATCAGTTCACAAATGCCAGACTAATTAAGTTAGGTATACCTAAGGATATGTCTAAAGAATGTGCTAATTTGTTATACAATAGCATGTACTTCATTGCATCATAATAAAATCCTGAAAACAGGCTAAAAAAGTCAGAAACGAATTATTTAAGAATAAAATATATAAACTCTCCAGATATTTATTTCTCTTTAAGTACTACAGGGAACCTTTTTTTTCTCTGCTAAATTTTGGTTTTCAATGAAGCCCTTTTAGTTTATTCTAATTTCTATTATTAATTAATAATAAATTGAACTTAATAAAAATTCATTCAATAAAATAATTTGTAAAACTTAATGTAGCGTAAATTGGAATGTTTTCTTTGTAAAATTCAAAATAAAGTATTTAATTAATAACTATTGCAACTATAGTGAAAAAAATAGGGTTACTTCCATCAATATTAGACATAACTGGTTGAAGACTGTACCACCTCAGTCAACTGTGACCATGGGACCTGTAAAGGGCCCGAAACGTCGGTTTGTTTGAGAAAACAAATATACGCGATTTAAATCCGGAAAAATAGTTTCATTTCCTATGTGTAACAATCGCGAAAACCTCAGAACTCGCCCTGTAGTTATTATTATTTATCCCAAAGTTTGAAAATTGCCCAGGGGTGTCACGACGCGGCACCCACAGCCCCGTCAGTCGCCATCGGGCGTTTGTCGACATCGATCTGTGTAAAATTTTCTCCGCCTATTCATATTAATTTTCAGCGCGCGGGTTGCGGGATCGAGGGATGGTCCCCCTCAACTCTCTAAAATGCAGATTTACGTTCAAATACATGCCTTAAATCGCATAAATGTAAGGGGCAGTGCCACTGTGCCCCTTGTCATTACCACTCAATTGAGAAGCAATCGTTCTCCTACTAGACTTTTTTTTTTTAATACATGACAGGCAAATGACTCCACTCCACTTGATGTTAAGTGGAAAGTGGTATCCAAACGCGAAGGAACCTAGTGCAGCGATGAAACCCTCACTGCACTAGCCACCTCCACCCTGCCTGCCTACAATATGCCTCTTCACGCCTCGTTTGAAGGACCCCATATCATAAGAGGGAGGGAAGACATGTCCCGGAAGGGAGTTCCATTTGTCAACCGTGCGGCAGAAAAAGGAGCCACCGAACCTTTTAGTACGCAATGGAATGCGGCAGGTAGTGAAACGGTGACTACGAAGGCCAGCACGCGTGTTTCTAAGACTAATACTTACTTACTTACTAAGCGCAAAAAAAAAATCAGAATAGGATCAATAGCACATTATTGCAGAAGCGTAACATAACGCCGGGTAGTAAGGGATTGCTAGACGAGTATAAGTTACAAGGCTTTGTATTACGTGGGGCGCGGCCTTGTCAATGAAATCAGAAGTTTTCAGACGGTTGCTGACACTCGTATATTTTAACTTTCTTTTGTTCAGTCATCAGCTGAGATGATGAGCGTTTTTGCACGGTTGTTTTATCAACTAAACTTAACTGTCTGCGTGGCCGAACGGTCACCATGCTGGTCTGCCATGCCTGCCTGCCATGGAGGTCTCGGATTCGATTCCTGGATAGGGATAAACATTTATACGGCCTACATTCATATCTCTCGAGAGTTTGGGTGTAATTTGTCCTTGTCTATGTGTTTGTCCATATCACCCGCGATATATGGTTTCCCTAGTGCTGTAAGTGTGTGCATTATTATTTATATAATATCAAATATTGTTCCGAACTTGATGAACCTATGTACATACGCTATTTATTCAGCGAAAAACTATATATTATTTATTTATTTAAACACTGTATTGTACCACAAAGTAACTTACAAATTTTCAGAAACAATTTAAATATTTGTGTACAAAGGCGAGCTTATCCCTATATTATTTATAAAGGAAACGCATAGTTTCATAAAGTCAATATAATGATAGGTTTAATTCGTCATAATTAAAACATCCGATCGTTTAGCAACATAGTACAAACAAACGTGTTAAAGCAATCAAATAAGAATTTGTAAGGAGCCGAGGAAACCGCCAAAAAGTCAATAGATTACTTGCATCCGTCCTCATGCGTAGAGCAGAAGAATTTATAAACAATAAGCACGCAAATGGTGTACGTGTTTCTCGAACGCTATAATTTAGAGTGTTTTAAGGCAATAGTTAATATACATTTACTAGACAAGTTTTAGTAGCAGTAGATCATTGTGAGAGAGTTTGTCCAGGGACTACCACCTTACCGATTTCTGTCGCCAAGCAGTGAAATTACAGGCACATGAGACTTGATAATTATGTCCCTGGGTGACGGGCGCAGTGGCAGTGCCCCTCAGATCTTTGCGATTTAAAGCTCTGAGTGGCACTGCAACTGTTAAGGACAGGCGTGTAGCTTACCATCAGGTGCACGACTTATCCGTCCAGTCACTTGATATTATAAACTTGTTATATTACTTGTATGTATTTACAATGTATATTATACATATGTGAAAATATACATATTTATAAGATAGATATATAATAAAGGTAAAAAAGAATAAAACAAAAATGTCATACTTGTTTTACGTGGTACTTAATTGAAAAAGTTGAACTTGTAAGTAATTTCTGCCATGCCGGGAGACGTTGGTTCAAGTCCACCCGGAAGGTGAATTTTGTGGAGTAATTTCACAAAAAAGAATTGAATATGGTTGAAACATTATGAAATTCAATTAAACTTAATTACAATTATTAAAATGACATTTTATTTATTTTAGTTTAGTGACTGGATCGTTTCGTGGCTTAGTTGGCATAGTGACTGGCACGGTTTGCTGGAAGACGTCGGTTCTAATCCAGCCAGATCGAAGGGTTGTTTTCCTTAGTGTTTTGAATTATTAATACAAAGATCAAAATCTTTGTATTCATAATAAAAAAACTAAAAAAAAAAATGTAATTTTTAAATGGGAGGCGATACCATTTCTATAATTATCTATTTTAAACTCTCGCCTCTCCCATGGTTTAAAAGGTAAATTTTGAATTTTTTAATGGGAGAGGCGGTATTGTTATTATAGTTTACCGCTTTTATCACGATGTTTTCCTATACCGTTAACGCGCGTTTATTCGATACGAATCTCACCGCGCTCGCGCAGAACGCGTGGCCGCCGCGCAGCGACCGCGTGCTTCTATCATGGCAAATTACGCTCTATTTATTTTTTCTTTTGTGAAATATATTTTGCAGTCGAGACCGCTGATGGTTCGACCGCGCCACCAGATAAGAGGGCGAGCTGAAGGCTCATAACCCGTAAAATAAACTAAAAACTAAGTAGCGGGCCTGAGGGCGCCCAAGTGGGCCGGACCTCGGCTCAGGGCGCCACTGAGGACTTCCGCCAGAAGGGCGTGCTATGGGAGAGAAACTATTTATTTGGCTGTTTTCGCGTCGTGTAACTGAGCGCTAAGAGTCCTGGTAAAATTACAGGCACATGAGACTTGTCAACTTATGTCTCAGGGTGACGGGCGTAGTGGTACTACCCCTCAGATCTTTGCGGTTTAAAACTATGAGCTTGTTATCATAAATAAATAAAAATAAAGTAAATATACCGCTATATTAGTGTACTGTGGTCTGCCCAGTGAGAAGCGAGAAGTGTTTTAACGTACTCTAGTATTCTCCCGAGGTGCGAGAGAGTGTAATCTAATGTAAGTTTCTGCAACAGTTTATATCTGAAACTCAAATAATCTTTGCTTCATAGGTAAGCAAATTCCACTTGAAATCGTCATATTGATTAAACTCTACTGCTAATTCGTAAGGCAGATTCCCCTGAGAAGAATGAGCAAGAAACTCTAGGGGTTGATCTTTGTAAATAATCATTTGCATACGTTTATCATTTACAATATTTCAAACATCTTACATCGAGAATACCTGTAAGAGCCAAACGGGTCATTAACACGGATTTTTGTTATCCAAGCACGCAGAAGCAGTGTAATAAATAACCTTTTAGAACAAAGTTTTTGTTTCACTGTAAGTTTTAGATATCACACGGAATCTCATTATAGAATCGTATGCGTGGCCCCATAAATAAATTTGTAAAGGCTTTGCTATATTCTGCCGTCACAGGGAGTTGAACAGTTAATTGAGAAGCAATCACAGCTCTCTAAAAATCTACACACAGACTATCCGGTTCCTTGAATATCATCAATAATGTAACCAGTCGTAATTCGTAATTAACCAACCGATGTTTAGTTAAACATTATTCCTGCACAAGCCCTTTGATTTCTTTGTGAAACCGAATTATCGTTAGCCGTGTTGCAATTACCTGAGCGAATATGATTATCATTGCATTAGCATATTATGTACACGTTTGTTTATGTATTATACATGAGGTGGTTTTAGTTGTCCTGTAGTTAGATGTTACTTTTTAAAGTTGAAGTATAGTATACATCGAGTATGTAACCAGAAATAGAGACGAAATATCATTTGATTTGTTTGAAAATTATTCTGCGTGACAACTACGCTCTGATTGGCCAGTCCGAATTCGAAATAA